CGTTGCTGGTTATGGGCCGTGGGTATAATTACGCCACGTGTCTCGAAGGAGCTTTGGTAGGAACTTCTCAATATTCTTTGATATCATTTAAAATGAGATTTTATGCCTTCTGCAACATGGTTTTTCTAATATTTCATTACAATTTAATTCCACCGCAAAAAAACTATTTATAACCAGAAGCATTTAAACACATACATAAGGTGAACCTGGATCTGATACCACTTTCTTGTTTCTTTCACATCATAAACATAGTGTTTAATTAGTCTATTTAAAACCAAGAAACTAACAATTTAAGTTGCTGACCCATTTGAAAACAACATCAAAAAAATGCAATGTGCTAATGTTGAGAATAGATGCTCATGCATGAAAGTCATTAATTATGTTATGAACATCCTGCTAAAATGGACACGTGCCCATTGCTCAGAGGAGTTGGGTGTGTTAAAGGTAGACTGCAGCCAAGGCTGTGCTGGGTGTTTGGTTCCTAAAATTCCTCTGGTTACTCCATGTGTGGGTGAGCTCTGCTGCTGCCACAGCCTGCTAGAAATCCCAGCAGCCACCTGTGTGTTTTCACTAATACTTGATACTGGGTAGATGTATTGAAGTGGCAGAGGCACAGCCTGGGTGTTTTGATTCTTGTGGCTGTTGCTTCTCAGCTGATTTAGTAATAACTTGAGGCATTTCCTTTTTTTTAGAAAATCAAAGAAATCACCTATATGCACTCAGAAGGTATCCTGGCTGGTGAGCTGAAACATGGGCCCTTGGCCCTAATAGATAAACAAATGCCTGTTATCATGGTGATCATGAAGGATCCTTGTTTCACCAAGTGCCAGAATGCCCTGCAACAGGTCACTGCTCGGCAGGTACAGTGTTCAACTGATTCACTTCTCCTGTGTCATAGGAAAAGAGATGGTGCACACTGCACTGCTGCTGGCTGTGCACCTGGAAAGGGATGTACTGCTGATTATTGTTAATTATTAAGTTATAAATAAGATGCTACATCTGCATTGCAGGTTGTTATTACAGGTTAATATCAGTAGTGAAACCTGCTTTCATATGGCTTCTTTGTTTTGGGGTCTTTCTGTTTTGAAGCAAATGGAATAATGTTTAAACTCTACAGGGTGAAAATATTCAAATCTTACAATATAGTGAAAGTCAAGAGCCATTATGCAAGACTGGCATTGCCTTTGTTAGCTACTTGAGTGTGTTCAAACACATACAGACATGCTGTAAACAATATTTCAAAGCAGGTCGAGGCTATCTCTTCACATAACAATGCAAAAATTTATTTTCAGGGTCGTCCAATCATTCTGTGTTCTAAAGAAGACACTGAAAGCTCAAAATTTGCCTACAAAACCATTGAGCTGCCTCATACAGTTGACTGTCTTCAAGGAGTGTTGAGTGTCATTCCTCTTCAGTTACTTTCATTTCACCTGGCTGTTCTCAGAGGATATGATGTAAGTATTTTCTATATTTAACGCTCCTTTTTATGCAGTTTTGAACTTCCTCCTACCAGTGTAAAGTGAGAGACCCAGTTATATGGCATATCTAAACTAGCTATGAAAATAGCCAGTGAATCTCATAGTGAGTGGGATTATAGAGGTGACATTTCAGTGCCAATTCTTCAGTTTTGCATTTTTTAATTAGTATCCTTCTAAAAAAATTATAAAGCTCTTTAGCTGGTTAGTTAAGAGTGCAAATTGGGACTTTTTCAGAGAGCCTAATCTCAAAATATGATATTGTACTTAAAATAGGTCAGTGCTTTGTACACCTTGGTTTGTTGATGTATCACTTTGACAATGATGACTGCTTTGGAGAGGTATCCTGTGCAAAACAAATATGTATTTGTTAGGAGGGTTTTGGAAGCACAGATGAATTCAGCTGCTATTGGAGTTAAGACCCAACATTGCCGGGTGGAGCGTGCCTGGCTCGTCTGGCCTTGCTGCTGGACCAAAGGCGGCAGCTGTGGTGGTCTCAGCCCAGAGACACCCCTGGCTGGCTGGGTACTGCAGCTGGCGCTTGGGACAAGTCCAGGCAAGCAGGAACTCGGGTTTGCCTCTGGTGGAAAGGCTTTAGGCGATGGTGAAGGACAAGGAAACAAGTCCTGCTGGAGGGTTTGATCCAGAGCTTTATTCCTAGCACAAAGGCTTCTGAATGTCACAACAGCTCCAACAGAACCAAGAACCGCCTGGTCCCTGTGTCTTTTAAGCCCGGGGGTAGGGGGAGAGAAGGGGTAGGTGTGCCACCAACCAGGTAGGAGGGGGAAAGTCTCAGGGGCCAAGTGACACCTGGATAGGCCAATGGTGCCAGGGCTGAGAGGCATCTTTTGAACTTTGCCAATCACACTATGCCCTTGCTGGAATGTTAAGATTGATGGACAGCACTTAGCAAGGGGGCAAAGGGGAGGGGAAGGGGGACGTTGTTGGCACACCTGAGGGAGGAACTGGGATAGCTGAAACAGGGTATTACATCACACTGCAGCAAGCTGCAAGTCATTATCTGCAGATCTATAGCCTGTTGTGTGTGTTAATGTGTCTAGAATCAAGCAGAACTCATTAGGAAGTCAGAAAAAGCACACTAAATGAAGTGTCAAATGTAGAATTGTATTACTCTGCCATACTGAAAGCCTGTCTCTTCATTCTAGGTGGACTTCCCAAGAAATTTGGCCAAATCTGTTACTGTAGAGTAACAGCCATGAACAGCTGATGTCTTTGTCACCAGACCTCTGAGTTATACTTGTAGAATGTGTTGTTCTGAATTGATAGGTAAATGTTTTTTCTTAAAAGAATGATAGTGCTAACTGGAAAGTGTCAGAAGGATTTATCTTGCAGCTTTAAAAGCTTTTGATGTGCCTTGTACCCAAGTGCTTTTGCTCACAGCAAATACTCCTCTAAGTCCTGAAACTACCAAAGAAGATAAAAATTGTTTACACGTGGTATACTGAATGAACTTTTTTACTGTGCAATATATATATATATACAGCTCTCTCCAGAGTAACTGTGAACATTTTTTTAGCCTACACTACATAACTAGTTTCAAAGATATAGTATTTATAAGTACAATTTGTATAGCTTTTTTTAAGTTATTTTTTTAGTACATTGCTTATCTGTAACATTGGTAATGCTCAGAATGTAAATACTGAGCATGTTGATACTTCTGTACAGTCATTAGGGATTTTCCTCCTTCAGCCTCAAACTGGAAATTTGTTGTCCTCTCTTCTTTCCCAGCTTCCCTTCCCCCGTTGCATCTGTGTTTCATATTTAACCAGTCATTTGCAAAGTTCTGCCCTGGCTGTAAATTGCCAGCTATGTTTTCAATTTCTGCTTCTTTTAACTGTTTTGAAAAGCCAGAATGGTATTTGTTTTGTATGCCACCCCAGCTCTTATTTGCATAACATGTATAGTGCAACAGAATAAGGGAACTGGATGTCTTTCAAGTGATATTTTTGTTGAAGAGGGTACAATGAAATGACAATGCAATTAAAAGATTATATAATTCTTCTTATTTTGTGGTTTGGTTTTTTGTGTGTATATGTGTGTTTGGGTTTTTATTTGTTTCATTTTTGTTGTTTTGATTTTTTTTTAACCTGAGGACTTCTATGTCAGATCTGAAGAAAGTCCTATTTTAGTACTATATATATTTGCAAAAGCACACACTTTGATAGCTGTGAACCAACTTGCAGTAGGGGAGAACCTATAAACCTGCAAAAAAATAAGCTGGACACACACAAGAAGTTCTGTGCTCATTTGTTTGGTTTTTATTTCCAGATGGCCAGAAAGCATAGGATTTCTTTTTTCTGCATTTTATTAACTAACTATTTCACTAGTGAAGTTTCTGATATTCCTGTGCAGGCTTGGTTCTAAGTGAAGGTGTTTGAATGTTTACTTAGGTTAAGAGCTTGAAAGTGTTTCACCAGCTTGTTATAATAGCAGCTACTTACTGGAAACCGCCCTAGGACTTTTTATTACCACGTAATAAAACCAAAATTGTAACAAAAAATATAGTACTAATCTGACCTAAATGCCAAGAATGTGTAACTCTGTATCTAACATGTTTTGGAAAGTGATGAAAAGGCCCCTTTTACTCTTGATCTAAAATTAATATTCCCTTCATATTAAAAAGTGGAACTATCAAAGCATATTAAGGTAATCTAGTCTATATGTGACAGTAAAGTGATTTATTAAAAAATTACAGGTGCATTTTTCTAAATTAATCTGTGAGAACAGAAATCACAGAAATGAAAGCTCTCATCAGTCCTAGGAGAGGTGGCAAATTGAGTTTATTTTTAGGCAGCACCTGTTTTAAAAACAAGCAGTCCTCGTGTCAGGGCGGGGGGTGTGTAATGGAGAGAAGGCTTATGATTTTTGTGTGGGCTTGAAAATAGCTTGGGGAGAGAATAAATCCCTTCCCTCCTGAGCCATCGCTCTGGAAGAGCTGAGGGAAGCCAGGCAGAGGGGCTGTGCAGAACCGATGGGCTGTGCCCTGCTGTGCTGTGGTGTGTGGTGCTGTGCCCTCATGTACTGTGCCATGCTGTGCGGTGTCATGTGGTGTTGTGTTGTGCCCTGCTGTGCTGTGCCATGGTGCCAGGCTGCCCCTGTGTGATGTCACCGTGCCCCTGCAAGGCCTCCTGCCCACGGCGGGCCTTTGCCTCACCGAGGGCTTCTCCCGCCTGCCGGAGCTGTGAGGAGCCGGCAGCAGGACTGGCACCACAGCCTGTCGTGACATGGTACTGCTGTGAGGTGACATCACGACTATCGTGACAGGCTGACGTCAGGCAATGACATAACAACTCCCATGACGTCAGGATATCGCACGATGACGTCACACACTCCCGCCACGCTGGGGGCGGGGGCCGAACTGCCCCGTCACTGCGGGCCTTCAGCGCCCTCCCTTATATAGCGGCCAGCAAGTCCCGCCCCCATATTCGATTGGCTGAGCTCCTCCGATGGGGGCTGCGATTGGCCGTGGCGGCTGTCAGACAGGGGCGGCGCCGTGCGGAGCACCGGGAGGCCATTGTGGCTGGGGCAGCGGGAGGCGGTGGCCGGGGCCGGTCCCGCCGCGTCCGACCCAGGTGAGGGGGCGGCCGCGAGGGGCGTGCTGGGGCGGCGGGGCTGGAGCCGGGGCGGGACGCAGTGCTCGGCTCGTCCCGCGGCGCGGGCAGAGCCGGGGCACCCCGCGGGCCGCTGCCCGGGCCCGGCCGCGCCGGGGGGACGCGGGGGAGCGGCGGGGCCGGGCCCTTCCTGCTCCGGCCGAGCCCCCCGCCCTGCCCGTGCCGCAGTGCCGGCCCTGCGGAGCCGCCTCTGCCCGTCCCGCTCTCCTGTCGCCCCGTGCCGGCCCCGCCGGTGCCCGTGCGCGGCCGGCCCGCGCTCGGCGGCCCCAGAGCCCCGTCCCGGGAGGGCAGCGGGACCGAGCGCTGCGGCTGCGGCCGCGGCCAGCTCGGGCTCTCCGGAGCCGAAGCGATTGCTTAGCAGAAGTTTTAGGAAAGATGTGAGAAGACTCTTCTTGCTCGCTTCTTACATGAGCAGCGAAATTGCTTACAGCACATGCATGTTTAAACTTTTTCTCTCTTTACACCAGCTTGCCCTGGCAGAGTTCTGAGATCCTTTCAGTGTTTGCGTTTGTGTGTAATAGCTGAATGAGACTGTAACAGGTAGTGGTGAAATCTTTGTTTGGTCAGTAGTAGTGTGGGTTGCTCAAAGAAAAAAAATCTGCTTTCCAAGAGTTTCCAGTTGTAAACTACCTTTAAACTGCTGTAATCCTTCGGCATTACTCAGCTAGTGCTTTGCTACACTTTCGTTCTAAAGGTTGGCACTAGAGGAGCGAGGTGTAACTCACTGTGATTTTGTAGTTGGACTCTTTCCTTTTGATATATACTGCTGTAAAGATTAAAAAAAACCCTTGATACTATTGGATGATAGTCCTTAAAAGGGCACACCTGAATTACAAATGGTTTTGCAGAGGTGAATAAGAGAATAGGGGGAGATTCGCTGCACGGAATTGCCATATGTTTTCATAAATACGTGTGTGTGTGTGTATTCACTGCTAATATTGTCAGCAGTAGAATTTTAGCTTAAGATTTAAAAAACAAGCCAAGCTTCGTGCTGTTCTTGTGTTTCGTTTTCAGTAATAACATTTCTGTAACCAAAACAACCCTGGGAATGTGTTCCCAATCTGTTTCATAAGCTTTTGACTTGAAGATATCCAGACAAATCTGGTTAATAATAAGTTGCCATTTTAATAAATATATTTTAGGGAAGTGACTGTTTAATGCAGGATGTATTCTGTAGTGCAGTTGCTTTCAGCTTCTACAGATTTCTCACTGAAATTGTGTATAAGCCTACTACTGGCAGGCTTGGTGTGTTGGTTGTTTTTCTAGTAGGAGAATAACAGGTAAATACTAAGAAACTTATTTCACAGATATACTTCTTACTTGCACAACAGGAAATCTATTTTTATTTGGGGGCTCTTGAAGCCCTAGTGAAAGTCAAGGCTCGTGGAGAGCTGCTTTGCACAGAGAATTGCAAATGTGTTGAAATACATAAAACTTATGTGTTCTGATAATCCATTTCTCTTTTTGGGGCTTTTCTAAGGAGCTTATGCTCATTTCCAAGTGATTTTTGAAAGGTGGCTTTGTGCAGACAATGATTCTTAAAGGGAGGGGTTTTCAGGATCAGAATAATTTTGTTTTCCCGTATTTCTTTATCCCTTTTACAGAAAAGTGCTTCATTAACTCCTGAAGAGGTACAGCATTGTTCTTGTGTAGCTAACAAGTTGATATCCTGTAGCTTGATACCTAGTTTATGCAAAATCTGTACTTTTTTTGGTTTTGTCTCTAAGTCCTTGCAGAGGGAGGATCTTGACCTTCCAGCTGTACTTTTCTTAAAATATTGAAGATTCAATGAAAATACCACAGGTGCTCAGGAGCTGTTCACCAGAACACTTGGTACCTCAGAGTGCATAGCTTTAGAGTAATGAACAGGGCTGGAAAGAAGAGTGGGATGTACTGGGAAAGTCTGGAGCTGCCCTTGAGGCATCCTGTGGTCCCATGTTAGTGCTGGCTGGCTGTGCAGCTGCATCTGACTGCCTTCAATATTATTGTGTAGGAGATACCATTTTCTTCCTTTTTCTCCCTGTGACAGAGCAGAAAGTTGGTAGCAACACATTTTCCCTTTGCTGATCCTTTTCCCCCTGCTTTTTTTCTAAAGCTTCTAAGAGGAAATGTCAAATGAACTCACTGCCTAAATTGCTGCTGGAGATGACCCAGTTGAATGTCTGCCTCTTAAAATGCTGCATAGATTTTGAGAAGCTAGAAGGTAAAAGGGACTCTAGACATTTCTTGAGAATCTCTTAAGACTATTACAGTTTGGTTTAAACTCAGTCTTTGCTAGGATTTGGAGGTCTTCCATTTATTTTATTGCGGATTCCTTGAGTTTGTCAGCTGACTTAAAACATGGAAAAGATGCTGCTCCCTCCTACATGCACTGAGGAAGACAGAAATCCAAATTCTAATTCTTAAAGCAACCAAAAGTTATTTGTGTGGCTTTGTGCCCTTCTAGGGTGGGTGTCTGGGTTGCCCTTGAGGCTTTTCTGTTTTGCATTGGCTCACAGATACTCGGTGGGGCCATTGAAGAGAGAGACAAACTGTGCCTTTAGAAAGCAAAGCAGGCAGCCCAGAGCACAGCTGCTCCGGGGAAGGGGCTGCTTGCATTTCCTGTTTTAAGGAACAAGTTTGAAGAGATTGGCCTGTGCAAATCACTCGGGGCTCTAATGGCACTATCTGTCATAGTGAATGTGAAATTATGAAGGGGAAAATTTGTTAGAGAGCTCTTCAGTAATTACTGAGGTAATTTACTTGTAAGGTTTGGAAGAGGGATGGACACCCAGGAAAACTGTTGGTCTGTGCTCTTGTTACTGTAGCACTCAGAGCTAAAGAGGTTGAGTCCATTACTCTGCTCTCTGATGTAATTACTTTCCTCTTATTCATTCTTGACAGATGAATTTAACTTACTCTCTATTGTGTCAGGAAAGTCTCTTCTAAACTGTGGCACAAAAGTCTCATTCTGTAGTACTACAAGGACACTGGCTGGTAGTGCAGGGTGTTGTGGTGTGGATAAAATGGGAAGGAGAATGTGTTGTTATAGGTCTGGATTAGGGAAGGGTTGCCTGGCAGAGCCCTCTTTGAAATTTCCTACTGAACAAGGCTGAAGGGATTGTTGGAGAAATTGCAGCAGCCACAGGGATTTGGGGGTTAGTTTTGTTTTAAACTTGTTTTGCTGTTTTAATTAAGTCTTTTATTAAAACCCTGTTTCCTTCTGTCCATGGACTCCATGAATGTATGTTGTAACTTTTATCTTTGTTCCCAGTGTTTGAATAACATAGTTTTTGATATATTTTTTTTTCTGTAATACAGAGATTAGTACAGTCCTAGCACATAGCAGTAGTTCTAAGTTACGGAGTAGCCTTCAAGGAGTAGAGGGTTGTACTTGGGTGGTTTTGTTTTTAGAGATGTTTACTTAGATGCTTTTTGTTTGAGGGATTGGAGTAGGAACGTGCATTCCCTTGAAGCTGTAAAAGCTGTAATTGCTGTCTGTCTGCAAGTATATTTCATTAGCAGTGGTAATGCACAAAACTGAAAGAATGTTTGTTTATGAATGAATGTTTAATGGTGTGCTGTTGAAAAATTCATATGTATTAAAATATGTATAATATTTCCCATCTTGTCTGCTGGAAATTAGTGAGATATTGAACATTTGTTTTCTTTTCTTTTTTTTAAGATCTTGAAAACTTTGCCAGGTCCCTGAGAGAGAAAACTACATGACACTACACCATGACTGACAGTAAATGTGATAGTCAATTTTACAGTGTTCAAGTTGCAGATTCAACATTCACTGTGCTAAAACGTTACCAGCAATTGAAGCCCATAGGATCAGGGGCACAGGGCATTGTTTGGTGAGTAATAAATACTTTATTTAAATATTAAAAGCTGTAAATATAAAGCAGAGTTTGCATGTGTTTCTGATAGAAGTACCAGAACATAAAACACTGATAATACATTCCTTTGTTACAGGGTTATGGACTAAATAAATTTTAAACCAACTGCTTGCTATAGTTCATGTGCAATTGTATTTTTTTGTTCTGTTTTTAGGGAAAATTAATATTTGGATAACTGCATAAATTAGAATGGTCACCAAATTTCTTCCTTTCTCATTAATCACTTGATTTCTGTTTCTAGTTCTCCCATTGCCCTTGTAGTTGTGATATTGCAGTGTAAGGTATGACAATGGTGAGAGATTCTGGGTTTTACTCGTTTCTTCATCATGGCCCCCTTTCTTCCCCCTCTTTTATTCCCAATCACTCCTGTCCATTTCTAGGAGCCATCAATGCAGTGCCTTGCCATTAACTGGCAGGATGAGGCAAATCAGTGTCATTGTCACTCCATGGATTAACCAGAAAGGGATGCTGTGTGAGGGGCTGGGCTGGCCGGCTCTCCCTTGGTGTGTCACCCCAGCTTTGTGTCCAGCCTCCACTGGCCCAGGACGTGGGAGTCTTTAGGCTGATCCTGAACCTTAGTCTCTTGTATGGCACCACACCTCTGGGCCAGCTAAAGGTAAACACTTTCAAATGTTTTTTAGACTGCAGCAATCCATTCTGCACAATTTAGTGCCAGCCCATATTTTGTTGGGCAAAACTGACTTGGTAACAGCAGAAATGTTTATTGATGTGGGTTTTCATTCCATAAACAGGGGAGCAAACAGATGTACCCAGGAACTCAGTGATATTGACTTCATCACAACACATGGTGGGCTGTTTGTGCTCTGAATCCAGCCTGCAGTTTATCTTCATCTATAAAATCTGCAGAATAAGTGTGATGACTCATGTACTGCGAATAACTCCTTAACAGCACCTGCCCATGTCTTCTTGGCCTTTCCATAACCATAATAAGTTATATAAGTAGAAAAACAGTGCATTTCTGTGAGACCAGGCCTTGATTTAAAAATTTTTAGCTACCCCTCTTGCCTTGCTGATAGGTGACAAACAAAATGAAAACACCATATTTCATTCTTCTTTGGTGGGTTGAGTGATGAGGGGGGTCCTAGGTCTTGGTCATTAGGATTTGGGAAAGATTTAGCATAATACTGACATTTTCCAGGTGTCTGTGTTCTCAGTGTTATGCTTGGTTGAGATGGCATGCAGGAATTTGGGGTGCTTGGAAGTGTTTCTCCTTTCATTAGAAACAGAGCATTTTTAAGCCAAATTACTTTGGATCTCTGCTTCAGAATGAAATGCAGATAATGTTAAGGTCATCGTGTTGGGAGGAAGAGGAAATTATTCCATTTATTCACTTGTTTTGAAACTATTTGATTTATGGAACAACAGAGTGAAACATTGCATGAATTTTCATCTCATTGTGAAATACCTCAAGTTGAACAAGGTGCAACATCTTTGTTTCTCCTAAAATCTTTATGCAAGGGAAAGATACATTTTACTTCCTAGTTTTTTGTAGAAAACTCAGTGTAAGATGAGTGCTGTCCTGCTATGTTTGGCTGAAAAAATTGTCAGGACATTAGGGTAACACACAGATATAATGGCTTTTTTATCATCCTGTGTTTAATATAAAAAATAGGAGAAGTTTTTCTGGAGTTTTCTGTCTGGATTTAATTTATTCTATGAGGAATTTTTAATATCACCTGTGTCACTTTAGCTAGGAGAGGTCTAAATTTCTGCTTTTTTTCTCATGATGTTAATGGGAAACTGCACTGGTATTGCTTCATGTAGTATTAACTTTGATATTAAAATGTAGGATAATAAGTAGTTTTAAAAATATATACTTAGGAAAAATAGTAAATGAGAGGAAGATGAAAAAGTAAGTCAGTTTTTATGTACAGGATATTTCTATCTCACAAGGCCAGGAGAGAAACTGGATAGATCATTTGTAATTTATGTACAAAGTAAACATATTTAACTTACTGCACTTCTTTGTTCCTAAGTATTAATGCATCTGAAGTCTGGTAATCTATTTTGGACTGAATCAAAATAACTTTTGTCTTTAACTTCCTGGCATCTTTTTTTTTCCTTTCTTGTCCTTGATTTCCTAAATTTTCTAGTCAATCTCCAAAATAAGAGGTTCAGGTGGAGTTCTTCATATGTGCTTAAACTAAGGCTTGTCATACATCTGATTTCTCACATCACATAGGGACACTTCCCCTAAAATTATTCCTCTGTCTGCTGCTGCCCTGTGATTTACAGCTAATTCATGCAGACCCTCTTGGTTACTCATTTGATACTAATTCACAGGTATAACCATCAACATATGGAAGTCATTAAACATTAAAGGTATTAACATATAAAAATTAATTTATATGTAACATCTTTTGGGTGAATACTGAAATATCAGTGCTTTCATGTTTATGTTTAGGAGGAAAATAATTTCTCCAACTGCCTGGCCAGTTGCTTTCCTCCCACTCTGTTTCCTTTTGCACAGGCATACAGGGTTTAAATCAGAGACTTTCTGTAACATTCAGCAATGACTTGTGCACTTCACAGAAGTCAGCTGAAACAAATGCTAGCAAGTCTTTAGTTAGGTGGCACATTGGTTCAAATTGGGAAGCATGTCCCAAGAAAACACATCTCCTGGGTGAACCCTGCTTTGTGGCCTTTTTCCAGGAGGGAAAGCAGTGACTTTATGCTGGGAAACTTGATAGAATTTGAGTATTGTTGTACTTACAGGGAAGCTGTACTTTTTGTTAGAGTACTGTAGTGTGATGGCCCTTTCAAGTCTGATGTCACATAGAACTTGATGAGATAGGAAAGGAGCTCACAAAGAGCTTAAATGTGCTTGGAAAAAATGTGAATGAGAATTCTTTCCTACCCTATGAAAGTAACATCAAATAGAAATAGGGTAATGTGGGAATCCTCATTTAAAACTGAAACTGTTTAAGGACTGGAACTCCTGAGTAGCATGTGCTGGGAATTCACATCTATTTTGCCAAATAGTCTGTGTTACTAATGAAGACTATTCCCATTTTAGTCTTGTTTTGTTTATACAGATACTTTAGCTTTAGATTCTTTCAGCTATTAAAGCAAGTGTAAATTTGACCTCAAACTGCAGAGGGAATGGAGAAAGGCAAGTGAAAACCAGGGTGAATTTAATGGCGATGATCACTTTTAAACTCTTGTATTCCTCCCTTCAGTCTGAATTTTCCTTATTTCTCAATTCAATGCATTTTTTTCCATCCAGAAACAATTATGAATGTAATTTTCTGCTAGGCACTACATCTTTTTATCATTGCAACCTATCCATGTGCAGGAGAATATTGATCCCTGCAGAAGGGATCGTGGAGACAAGTTTTGTCTCTCCTTTAGCTGAGAGAAATTTCTGCTGCAAATACTAAATGATTGTCAGTCAGCAAAAGTGCCCAAAAAGTATTCCAAATATACAGATTAGGCAGCTGCAATGCTTCTTGATTTTAAACAAGCCTAAAATATTTTTAGATCTTGCAATTTTGGGCGTGAGTCTTGAGTCAGCAGTTTCAAGTGTAAAGACAAAAAGGAGAGCGGGAAGACCTCTGATGAATGTCAGTGCTTCTGTTTGACTTACTTGTATTTATTAAAGGTTGTGTAGTTTTTAAAGGATGCTTCTTTTCTGAATTAAAATTAGGTGTAGTACCAACAGGCTAGCAGATATACTTTGTCTTAAATCTTAATTTCTTTTCCTTCCTCACTTCTGCCTCCCTTTGCCCCCTCCTCTCCCTCAAACAGACTTCAACTTGTTTGTCTTTGAACACTTCTAGTGCTGCATTTGATACAGTGCTTGGAATCAATGTTGCTGTGAAGAAGCTGAGTCGTCCTTTTCAGAACCAAACCCACGCCAAGAGGGCCTACAGAGAGCTCGTTCTTTTAAAGTGCGTCAATCACAAAAATGTGAGTCGGCCTTTGTGTTGCTCTCCTTACTCTGCCTTATCTCACAAGCTCAGCATTTGCTCTCTCACTTGCTGTTAGTAACCATAGGAATGGCAATAGTGAAGGGCTGGAAAGATTTGCTGTGGGCAGTGCACTTCTCCACAATGTATGGCTCAGTTTTTGGGTGAGCTGCTTGGGGTCTGAAGTACCAAGGGGAGGAGGTTTCTGCTGCCACCAGGGTCAGGGACCAGGCCTTGCTCTGTTGCATTTGCCCTTTCTCAGCCATGTGCAGCACAGCTTGTTGGCACTGGGGTTGTTTGTGGATTTGACCATTGTAACTTCACTGTATTTAAGTCTGCTGAGCTTAGGCAAGATTTTTATTAAATACAGTGTTTAAGTGCTGAAGTTTTCAGGGATACAGCACTGTCTACAAAATTGAAATGCTATCGACCATACTTGTGAATTTTGAAATCTTTAAACTCTCTAAAGTGAGCCATGATGTCAATACTTCATTGTTCAAATACAGGAATATCAGGTTTATGTGACTGCTGTGTGCTGGTACTAACATGAACCGAAACATTGCTGGTCATTGAAGTTGTGCAGTCAAATCTCAAACTTCCTGCTGTCAATTTGCCTTTCAGGGCTGCTTTTTAAGTAAGCTTTTGGTGAGACCCAGATGTAGCAGAATAAAAGCAAGGTGGTTATTAAAGCTGGCAGTAGAGCAATTTTAGCAGTTCTGGAAATAGTACATCATAATCTAAGTTTAATGGGATGGTGTGGGGCACCTCTGTGCACGTGGTGTTGGATAGCCTTGGTTAAAATTCCTTGCACAGCATGTGATTTAAAATAAGAGATTATTATTTATGGGGGAAAGTGGGATATATTTCAGACACTGGGGAGGGAGCTAGAGAGTGTCATATAACTTTAAAAAAAAGATTTTGTTCTGTCTTGGTTCCCTTGGCACACATGCTGCAGTTTGGAACTATTTCTGAATTGGCAGTTTTTCAGCATATGTGAATTAAGTGCAGCCAAGTAACATTCAAATTGTGTATATAGTGACAGTGTGCACTTTATTTTGCATAGTAACTTCTGCAGTAGTGGAGTTTTGTGAATTAAAGCAGAAGTTTCTTCTAATGTTTTGTTTTTTGTTTTGTAGATTATTAGTTTATTAAATGTATTTACACCACAGAAGTCACTAGAAGAATTTCAGGATGTGTAAGTACTAAATGATTTTTCATTTTCTCTGACAAATACTGGCCTAAGCTTTAGAGTTGGATTTCCAGTATCCTACAGACTTCATGCTTTGAAAATCAAGAGTAGCTAAAAGCTGAAGTGGGCAGGGAAAAAGAGATATTTACCTTTTATCATCAGTCTACCACACTTTGCTTGCCCATTGCTCTGGTTTATGTGCATGGTCCTTCAGCAGCTCCATGGATCACCTCAGGATAGTAACTTGGTCTGGATAACATGAGAGCAATTTTTTACTGTACCAGTCACATCAGCACAACAGTATTTTGGCCTCAATTCAGCACTGAATATATTTCTTTTTTATTCAAGCATTATCAATTGGTCTAGAAAGGATTCATGGCCATTTGGTGGGATATCCTAGGTTCCAGTGAATGTGCTGTTGTGGTTGGTGGATAGGCTGCTTGGGCTAATGAGGGAGTGTTTGTGTCTGAAGAGGGTAAGTAGATGACAACTGCAAATTATTTTATCATTCTTAGTTTTCACTGTGGTTATCCTAATTTTCTTAATTTTTAGAGTAAAATACAGTGAAAGAGAGCATTTATGTTGCATTATCTGCAATCTCTACATCAACTTCACTCAGTCTTGGTTTTTCATGATGCATAAATATAGAATTATTCTCTGTATTACTGTTTATAAAACTAGTAGAATTTTAATTTTTGTGATGGAATAATTCAATTAATTAATTGAACAGTTAATTTGTAATGGTAGGACTTTTTTGAATAGATAATTTTACTTTGTAACTATGATCATGCATGGGTTTTTCATCATTGGTTTTTTGACACTTAGGTTAGCAGAGCTGATTCTTCTTAAATATCTCGTATGCTAAACTTAAACCTATAAAAAATAAGACTTGAGTTCTTTTAATACTTTCTTTTTTGTGCTTTAGATATTTGGTTATGGAGCTGATGGATGCAAATTTGTGCCAGGTTATTCATATGGAATTGGATCATGAAAGAATGTCTTATCTTCTTTACCAAATGCTATGTGGGATCAAGCATCTCCACTCAGCTGGTATCATCCACAGAGTAGGTAGTAGTAGATCATTCACAATACTCTTTGTGAACACAGCTTGTATGAAACAGGGAGGAAGGGAGGGGGTTGTATAAATAAGCACATACACCAGGGCAGGAAAATGCAGTTGTTATTAAAGTTACTTTTTGGCTTATCCTGATTGTGGAGGGGGAGGTGTGTGGGTATTATTCTGTATGTTAATCCTTCCTTAACTGAAGTAATTTCTTGTTAGGATTTGAAACCCAGCAACATAGTAGTAAAATCAGATTGCACACTAAAAATCCTTGATTTTGGACTGGCAAGAACAGCATGTACTAACTTCATGATGACTCCATATGTGGTAACTCGATATTACAGAGCACCAGAGGTTATCCTGGGCATGGGCTACAAAGAGAATGGTAAGCTGCTGGAGTAATGTTTAAATCTCCTGTCTAAAGTATGTCTCTCTTGGAACATAACTACTGTAAAAAGAGGAGGGAGGGCTGCTTTCCCCCTTTCAAGTTTGTTAAACATGGTACTGGAAATGAAAATTATTACAGTGTAATTTTTTTATTGAAAGTATGATAGTTTTCTGGATGCTTTTCCTCATTTAACATTAATTGCTCCCTCTCCCCTGCTCTAGTTATATCTTGTCATATATTCACCATTATCTTTTTGCCATGTTTTTTACTCTAAGAAAAACTGTTGAGGCTGGTATTAAAAAAATCTGAACCCAAAAATCAATATATGAATAATAAACCCTTTAATCAATGTAATTTTAGTCTGAAACATCTTCTTTTAACAATGTGTCCCCTTATGCCTCTCTGATTATTAAAATACATTGCAGATCCCTACCATAAACCATGTCTAATATTCTCTTAAGTCTGCTTGATGCTCAGAGAGGCTGGGTGTTACATTATGAAAACTAGCACAGCTGTAATATACTGAATATTCAGCCAACAAAATTGCTCCCAAGGAATTTCCTTCCATTATTGAGGGATTTACCTGCTGATTTTTACTACCACTGGACTTGTATGCTCTTCATCACAAGGGCTTGTGGATGGTTTTGAGTGTCTGTAATTTTGGGTGTGTGAAATAAGGGACTTGTGGGACCTTGCTGGGCCCTTGATAATGATAAAAACATTTTATTTAGTGCAGAAGGCAGCTTGTTGTACAGCAAGTGCTGATGTGAATCAGAACTTCAGCAAAGCTTGTTCTGGTTGGGACAAAAATAAATTATCTGCAGGACTGTAGGAATACAGTGTGAGCTTTCAAATAAATAATTGTGGTATTAAAAAAAAAAAATCTCTTTAATCTTTTGTCCTTGTTGCACCTAACATATGATAGTGGATATCTGGTCTGTTGGGTGCATTATGGCAGAAATGGTCCTCCATAAAGTCCTGTTCCCAGGAAGAGATTGTATCCTTCTTCATGGTGGTTTCCAGAGTGTAAACACTGACTGTGTTTTACAAAATATAAAATTCAGGAACACTCGGTGTTGATATGATTGAAAATTCATGTGAACAGTTTGGTTTTCCACATTGTTGTGTTTTACTGTAGATGCAGATGGTTTTGTTTGTTTTCCTCACATTTGTTCATGATACTCCATAATTTGATCATTTCACTTTTATTTTCAGTTGATATCTGGTCAGTTGGGTGCATCATGGGAGAATTGGTGAAAGGTTGTGTGATATTCCAAGGCACTGATCGTATCCTTCCCTAGTCATGCTTGAGTCCCATTCCACTTCAACAGAAACACAATTCTTTAGAACTGTATAAAAACATAAACAATTAATAATGTTAGCAAAACATTTAATAATGTTTTACTAGATCCACTGTACTCTTTGAAATTAGTGTCATTAACCAAGTTGTTGAGCTTTCCATTTTATTTTCTTAGTAGAGTATATTTCATGTCATTTATAGTGGTTGAATCCAATGTGTTATGAGCTCCAGCTTTTGTAGTTTAAAAGACAGATACTGCTAGGTTTGAAAAATAGAAAAGAGCTTATTTTTTACTCTTGTTCTTTGTAGATAAGTGTTTTAAGCAAAAGCCTACAAAGTTACTTCTTAACTATGCATGGATTTTGCTGATTATTTGTTTGAACAGTAGACTTTTTTTTTTGCACAATTTTTTGAGTTTTAATCAGATTTTTTTCTTGTTTATTATAGGGCTTGCTGGGCAAAGGTGACCTAATGGCCAGCACACTGCATGAGATCTTTTTTTATTATTATTTAGCATAAAATAATAGCATAAAAGAAAAACTTTCTGGAAGTTCTTTTTTTTTTCCATTTTATGAAAATTTAATTTTGGACTGACTTCTTCTATAAGACAGTTGTTCTTTCATTTCTCCTTCCAATATTTTTAACCAAGATTTCATAGAACCATAATCTGAGAACCATTTGGGTTGGAAGGGTTCTTAAAAACCATCTCATTCCAACCCCCCTACACCTTCCACTATCCCAGGCTGCTTCAAACCCCCTCCAGCCTGGCCTTGAACCCCTCCAGGGATGGGGCACTCTATCTTCAGAATTGTGCTCCAAGGTTTTGAAGCCAACATTATATTTTTGTTCATCAGCAAGGAGCAACCACCACTAAAACATCAGGTGCCTGTTCACAGATCCTTGTGTATCTTATAGAGGAGGATTTCCAATTTTAATGCTAACTTTCATGACACTAATCTTCAACAGTTGATCATACATTATTTGGTAGTAAAATGATTAAACATTAAATAAGTCTCTTTTTTTTCTACCTTTCTTCCTTTATATTTATTATTTTACTTTTTGAAGCCTTCAGACCAACCTAACACAATTCTTCATGGATGTTATGTGTGTTTCACCTGCATGTTGTTAGCATGGGCTGTTTTGATTTGTTCATGAATAAATGAAGGAAATTTTGTTCGTGCTTGTTGAATATTCAAGTTATCATTTGTGATTCTCTCAGGGCCACTGAAGCTCTACCAGTCTATGTTTCAAGGAGTCTCCTCCCTGACAGGGAAGTGCATAGCTGTGCTTACAGGGATTTTTCCTTCTTGGAAGAGTTTCAGTTCTCTTTAATGTGAGATACTGAGGCCTTTCCTGGGTGAGTCAGGTTGTCACCTTCAGCTGCAGGATTGTCTTGGCAGGATGATTTCTGGGCAGTGCTGCTGTGCATGGCCATGAAACATTCCTTTTGTTGATTGTGTTTGGGGTTTCTTTTCTTGGGTTGCTTTTTTTAAGTTAAATTTTAAAATGTCTTAGTATTTGGGCATTTAGAGGAGGGAGCCAAGCTCAGCATATTGCCCAATGCTTGCCCTTGACTCTCTTCAGGAAAATCTGCTCTTAGATTCAGTAATTTGTACTTTCCCAGATGGTGGATGGGAATTTCTGGGATGCTCTGGGTGGAATGAGGTGCTCTGTGTTGCCAGGGTGATGGATGCACAGACCCTGCTCCAGGCTCTGCTGGGGAGGCCTGAGTTACTGCCAGCTGCTGTTGGAAATGAGAAATGGAGAGAAACCAGGGAATGCAGGCACCTCAGGTGACATGGTGGAAAAGCCTGGCAGCAGCCATGTGGTTTTGCTGTTCTTTCTGCCCATATGGAGAAGGAAACTGATGGCCTGACCAATGCAGAAAGCACGAGGGGTATTTGTGCTTTCTTGGGAAAAATCATGCTTTGTTGTGATTGTAGGAAGGACTCTGTTTTCAGCTTTTCTTCCAGAGTCCCTCAAGGCAAATAGACTTGGCATGGATTAAATGCCTGCTCCCTTCTGACCCTGAAGTCTCAGGAATGGGGAGAGTGGCTTTGTGTGAAGGCTGCCAGGTCAGTCACAGAGCTTACTCTGCCTGCTTTATACTGAAATCCCACTTGCATTTCTGCTAAGAGGCTTATTTTAAGTCCATCCTATATTGAGTATTTTTTCAACTTTCACCATCTGTAAAGCACTTTGAAAGTGAAATATTGTTTTTTGCTTGTTTTTGCCTCTAAAGTGGGATAGGTCACTAAGTTTTCTGCCCTTCCCTGCAGTCTTCTGAGGCCTCAATAAACTGGACTCTAATTTGATTATCTGTTTAACTAGGCTGCTGTTACTCAAAGGAAAAGCATCTTCTTGAATCTAGATTGGTGGAGCTCTCACACAAATCAGTTTCTCAGCTAGGAACAAAATTTCCTAATGTATGTTAATTTTCTCTTTGTCTGTGCTTTGTTTTAGCATGACAGTTAACAATATCAGTTCTGAATTTTGATTTTAATATAGCTTTTCCATTGGAATGCATTCAATGAACAAATAAAATTTTCAATCTTTGTATCAGAAGTCTAAAATCTTAGCATGGAGCAGTAACTATACATATATTCATAATTGTATTCTCAACACACTAACTGAAATAGAAGCACCTCAGTGTTTTTTAAATACATCTTAATTCAAAGTACAGCATATTTATTGTTTAGTTGCATAGTCTGTCTATGAGAATGGATAGGTTGAAGTGCTAGATGGTGAATTTAGCTATGAATTTTTTTGCAAGGTCAGTGGACAGGCTCTGCTGGAATTGCACATTCTTTTTATCAGGAAAAACTGGCAAGTATAGATCTGAGTTGACTTAAATGTTAGGAATATTAATGCAGTGTCTCCTGAGTGTGATAAATGAGCTTTGTTTGTCCAGCTGGGCTGGTTCAGAGCAGGCTCTGGTATCTCTGTAACAAGTGTCACCATGGCTGGGGAAAATGCCTTCACTTGAGATGGGGAGAGGGGACACTCCTGAAGAAACATGAGGCCCAATTTCAATTTGTGGCTTGGAAATGCTATTCTTACAAAATATTTAAATTTTGAATTATAAGAACAGAGTTATCTGTGAGTATGTTGGTTGATAAACAAAAGAACCTACTATAGAACATTCTGGAATATGGATTTCCTGTTCAGAACTCCTCTGGACCTTTTCTGAAGTTGAAAAAGAAAAAGAAATCAACCCCACCCAAACACCAACCAAAAAAAAGCCCCCAACCATCCAACTACAGCCCTGCAAAATGCTCCAACTCAAAGTTTTATTTCCTTAGGAGACAGATACAAAACTCCTCACTTTGGGTGGGATGCAATTGTGCTTTAGGGTTTGCTCTATGTTTTTCTCTAGCTTCAAGAATTTTCAGTGTCCCTGATGTTTCATTGCACTTCAGAAGATTCCTCAGCAGCCTTTCTTTTCTGACCTTAGAGTTGTTTTGCTATGGCTACAAGTGCCAAATAAAGCTTCTTTTGGATTCTAGAAAAATATTATAATTAGAAAAAGATACTTAAGCATAATGCATTGTGCAGCACTTCCAGCCTGTCCTTCAGAATACACTGACACAAAAATAAGGCTCAGATTTTGTAGCTTTTTGCATGGCAGCTCAGAATACTGCTGATGCTGCAGTCAAGTTCTTCTTTGTGTCCTCTGTTCAAGTTCCTGTTAACTTCTCAGATTTTTAAGTGGTATTTTTTTAGAGTGCAGACTTCAAATTCTTCAGCTGATTTTCCTAAAGATATGGTGCAGATATTGATCAATGGAATAAAGTTATTGAGCAATTAGGAACACCATCAGCAGACTTCATGAAGAAACTGCAGCCTACAGTGAGGAATTATGTAGAAAACAGGCCAAAATATCCTGGTATTAAGTTTGAAGAGCTCTTCCCAGACTGGATATTTCCATCAGAATCTGATCGGGACAAGTTAAAAAGTAAGGCGAGTTTTTTCTCTCTGTTTTCCTATGAAGTTCATTTAAAATGTCTGCAGCACCCTTAATTTAAAGCCTAATTAAAATGCTTATTGCAGTAGGTGTCAACATTAAAAGCTGCATACTTTCTGTTTCTTTCATTTATGACAAGTTTTCAGATCTTAGTAGTAGTTACTAAATATTCTTTCTTTGTCCTAGGATTCTCTTTAATTCTCTTAATTTTAATCCATTGAATAATGTCTGTAATTTAGTGTTCTCCAAAAGTAATACTTTTTATTACTGATCATCTTGTTCTAAGTGCATAAAGCTCATGTGGGTTATATTTTATCTTTAGATAATTACTGAGAAAATTTAAAAAAAAACCAAAACCAACAATCCACCTTCCTATATTCTGTAGAACAGAAATGAAATTTTGCAGTGCATGTCCTGTGTTTCCAGTATTTATTTCCTGTGTCAGACATTAAATTCTACAGCTCTTTTACATTTGTGTTCTTTTCACCTTTACTTTCTAGCCAGCCAAGCTAGAGATTTATTGTCAAAAATGCTTGTAGTAGATCCAGACAAGAGAATTTCTGTAGATGAAGCCTTACGTCATCCTTATATTACTGTCTGGTATGATCCAGCTGAAGCAGAAGCTGTAAGTTTGCAATTAAAATAAATTTTCTAAGATTGCAATTCAATAACCTTAAAAATAACTTTAATTTTAGTCAAGAGCATGCTTGAACTCATTGGATAGGAGGAGTCACACAGGAAGCCTTCAGATGAGCATGAGGGGCAGAATCACCTGAAGGACAGCTGCTGGTGGGGAGCTGATACAATTCTGAAAGTGGTTGTTAATATTTCATTTTACTTACAGAAAGAGGTGCCTATTTGGTGGCAATCCTGGGCTTTTTGAAACAGGGCCTTGCTCTAAGGCCCTGTAAAGCTTTACAATTAATTTAATTTTGGTTGATAATTTTAAACAGCCTTTCAGAGGCAGGACTTAAAAGCAGATTCTGGAGTTGTAAAATGAACATGTCTTTGATGTATAGGGAATAACCTGCCAAAAGCGAAGGTAAAAAATGATAAAAAATTGTCATTTTTAGATTTTTTCATTAAGATTGGGTGTGTTAACCTGATTTAGTAGGCACTATAGACTTTACTTTTCTTTTCTTTGTAGCCTCCACCTCAAATCTATGATGCACAATTGGAAGAAAGAGAACATGCAATTGAAGAATGGAAAGGTGAGGAGTGAGCATGACAAATTACATTTATTGTAGTATCTGGTGTTATTAGTGAGTGGCTGCAGCATGTGCTGGATTGTGTAACAGACTATTCCAAATAATTCCCACTATTCCAGAGAAGCAGTACTGCCTGTGGCAACAGGAAAAGAAATCAGTGATGGAAACAGGTTGTGTGTGCAGTGAATACATACCTAGGTGTGTGAATGCTCATATACACATGGAACATTCTGAAGTCTGTTCAACAAAATGCTGCAGTTGTCTTTTTTTTGGTCCCTTTTTATTCTTAAGTGCTTGTAATCTATAGAGCATTTTCCTTGACAGAGAGTTCTCTGAAAAAGAAACATGCCTCTTCTCAGTGTGCATTGTTTAAGCCATATCTCTTGACAATATTTACTAGTTCATTTGTTTTAGAAATCTAAATAGTAGGAGAGTCCTTTGGTGTAGTTTTTTTCTCTAATCTCATTGCTTATTTATTGACCAAATAGATTAAACTGTTGACTTAAACAAAGGAATAAACAGCACTGTAGTATTAAGATCAATTTCACCTTACAGTTTGAGTCAAAACCAATAAATGGTGAGGCAGTTAAAATTTTAACATCTGCCATCACAAGACTAAGGGTAATAGGCATCTTTTATGACTACTTGGAAAGCTGCTTGCTTTTGTAAAACAGCATTATAAATTTCAGATATTGATTCTGGCTGATCTATACATTTGTTATCCTTAGGGCATGCCTACACAGGTAGGTATGCTTCAAATCATCTTTGATTACTGCAAGGTGGAAAAGTAAAATGAATCCACTAAATGTAATTGAATGCATTTGTAAACATTGTTACTCAGAATTGAAGAGTCCTTAACCTACTTAGATATTGTTATCTAAATTGCATTAAGACTGTGGGTGCACACACAAGCTTCTGTGATTTAAGTTACAGCTCTGGATTTTCCTGGGTGTTGTTCAGGTGACTGTATCCTAACTTGTCCTTGACTAGTAAATGGGGGTCTTCATACAACATTGTAACTGTTTAACCTTCTTCAAAATATCCAGACTTTCCTCAGTTCACCCTTGGAGATGGTTCTTCAAGAATAAGTATTTGTGTATAATATTTTGTTATCAAAGTCAAATTTCCAGGGAGGTTTACATAAAATCAGATTTTGAATCCAAATCCAAATGGCAAATAAATACCTCTGTAGTTCTACTTTCAGACTGAACCATTTCCTTGTACCTTGATACAAATGAGGCTTGTTCACAAATCCTCTGTGGTCTTACAGTGCTTTTTCCTGTCTCTTTTTGCTTTTGTCCACTGTTCTCTTGCAAGAATTAATATACAAAGAAGTTATGGATTGGGAAGAAAGGAGCAAGAATGGTGTGGTAAAAGATCAGCCCTCAGGTTAGTCATTGTTTCATTAGTTCTGTAACTGTCACCCATAGCCCTGTGAATGAGGAAATCTGCTCAGTAATCCAGGTAGGCAAAGCTTTTGTTGTTCGGGGCCCTTGAGACTGATCTGCCTTTGGAGATCCCTGTACTCTGCTTTTTAATTGTTCTGAACTTGTAGAAAAACTTCACTGAGCTGCCTTGTCCCCAAAGGGCTCAGCCATCAAATGAAATGATCAGCAGCAGTGAGCTGCCCTGGAGCTCAGGTAACTGTGCTGAGTGCTGCTCTCAGGCTCAGCATGAGCCCCTTTCCTCAGGGTTAAACAGCTTTAGGGCTCCCTCAGGATACTTAACAGTGCTGGGTTTGTGCCCATGATTGAATCCTTGTGCTTGCTGCTGTTCTCACAGCTCAGTAATCAGAATATTGTACTGTCTCTTATTAACTGTATCTGTTAGATTTCTTGACACTCAGGTCACTATTCACACTATGCAGTGTTAGTCTTTTCTTCCTTCCCTCCACAGAGAGGGAGAAAAATAAAAATCTCTTAAAAGGTCATCTTGGCTTTTGAGTGCTAGGGCCCTTACTGCTTGCTTTTCTCCTTTTTTATTAATTCCTTGATTTTCTAAGGATTTCTGTGGGGAAAGTGCTGCTCACAGCCCAGAAGCATGGTTATTTGTGACTGTAATATTGTCTTGCCTCAGATTTTATTATGTTTGGTTTTCTTAGCACAGATGCAGCAGTGAATAGCAACACCAGTCCTTCCCAGTCATCATCTATCAATGACATTTCATCCATGTCAACAGAGCAAACATTGGCCTCAGACACAGACAGCAGCCTGGATGCCTTGACAGGACCCCTGGAAGGATGTCGATGATCAGCTGTGATTGCAGACCTGACTCTGGAAAAGAACTCTAATTTCCATTGGGCCTGAATTGCTTGTAAGTTAATGGAACCAAGTAGAAAAACTCCATGTTCTGCATGTTCTGCTAAAGTAATGCCTGTTGTTTTTTTTACTCAGTTGTTATGAAATTGCCTGCTTAATGTTGTAGAATGGAAGCAAATCAATGTCTAAAGAACAAAAAAAAAATTAAATTTAGACACTATTACAGGCTTTTCTTTGTTTCAGCCTATTTCAGGTGAGCAGTTATAATAGACTTTTAGCCAATAACTCCTCTTCAGTGGCTTCATCAATCACCAGTCCCAGCTGGCAGGCTTCTGTGACACAGTGGTTGTTTACATTTAGTACAGTATTGCTCATCAGTGGGTTTTTGAATGTATAGTCCCTATGAAGTTTCTTTTACTGTGTGACTGTGGCAGTTTGCTTTATTTAACGACCAGAGTGTTGTGTGTAAGTGTGAGCTCACATGTGGAATGCTCTCAGTACTATGTTTAAAGGGCAATTTTTCTTCCACATTGCACTTTTTTTTTTCTTTTAATCAAACCCTTTCTATCTTCACTTTTCAGTAATTCTCTCTTCTTGTAGAAGAGATAAACATGAAATTTAAAGCATAAAGCCATTACTTCGTATTTCACCTGAGTATCTTTTTCAGTCTTTTAAATGTGGACAGAAGATACAGTGGCTTAAATAAATCTTGAGGAAGGATGAATGACTTTTCTGTGCAGCAGTGCCTGTTTAGAAGAGGAGAATGTGCTGAAATGTTCTGTATTTTGTAGCTTGTGGTACTCATCCTTTAACAAAGATAAACAGAAAAAGAAGTTTTATCTGTGATGCTCTTCATTCACTGCAAGCTCTGATAAAAGGAGAGATGACTTGGAGATACTTGCAGCCTCAAAAAGCTGCATAAATGTTTTCCATTTTTTTAATGGGTCCATTCTATCTAGTGGGTAATTAAAGAAATAAAAGTACAGTAGTTCTGAGTCACTTGTAAATTAAGCATTTAGGTAACAGAGCTTAGCTCTATTCTCACCTTAGGAAAGTCTATTTGTAGTGAGAAGAAAGACATATTTAATACAAATTTTCTAAATGCAGTGTCAGACAAGACGAGGAGGTTATTTGCTGTTTCCATACAGATTTATCAATACAGTTTTCAGGATCAGATAATACAAAATTGCCTGTTACATTGCACAATCTGTTGAATTAGAAAATGCATTTGCAGTAGGGTAGGGCTTAAATTGCTTTGTAACACACACTTGTGACTTGTGCACGGTCACTTTGGGGCGCACAGGTGTGAAATTTGCTAAAGGATCTCTGTGTGCATGTGTGTGACTGAGCTATAGAACTGTAACAGACATGGACAAGTTGAGGTAAAACACCACTTTCATAGAGGCACTATATTTAGCTGTTGATCAGATACTCTTGCCTTGAATATATAAATAGAACCTGTAAAAAACACTGGCCCAGAGAGGCACTGCATTACTGACATACTTCTCATGTAAAACACAATTGCCCATTGTTCCAAGCCTTATGACTCGAAAAGCAGCACTTTCTCCTTATGCAAACGTTGCTTTTATATTAAAATTTTGCCCCTTTTTAATAGCTTAATTTGCTGTAGTAAAAATACCAAGATTTTAGTATCCCAGAAGATTAAAAAAAATTAACAAGGTAGTTAATGTTAACTTCAGAATTGTATTCTGGCACATCTGATTTTTAAAGTTCTCTTAAATTGAATTGTGAGATATTTGTTGCTTGTTTGGTTTTCAGCCTATGGATAATTATATCTTTGGATACTGACCGTATATGTGAAATATTTTTAGTGCATTCTTGTCACTGGAAAAACATTTTAAAATACCTATTTACCATATAGCAGAGCAGTACACTTGGCTGTTCTTTTGCTTTTTTTAGTCCATGTTATTTGTGTAAGTTAAAATAGCTGAAGACACCTATTAACAATGAACAATTAGTGAAATGAAAAATTTCATTTTTCAAGACTTAAATTTTTTAGCTGAAATTGCACTGTACTATGTTCATTTTAACAGTTTCTACTTTAGAAGACTTAAAGATATGTTGCTTTTTCCACATGTGATTTAAATACTCACAGAGTTGAATTTTTCCTGTTGGACTTGGGCTGCTCAGCACAACAGAGGGTTGGACCAGATGACTTCTAGGTCTATTCCAACCTAAATTGTTCTGTGATTCAAATTGTCTTTAAATGTTTTTAACAATACTGTTCTGTCTTCATGACTTGAACTGGTATCTGTCCTTCTCCTAGTACATACTGTGAGCTTGATAATATACTCTTGGAACAAGAAAAGAAACCCCAACCTTGAGATTAAATGAGTTTATTTGTAAATCTTGTAGGAAAAGCTGTCTCATACCTAATTTTTTTTTATGTCTTCTTGCTATGGCATACATTGAAGCTTAATTACAGAATGCCTTCAGAGCATGCATGAACTATCTGTGAATATTGTGGATTTTGACTCCAGTTTAATCCAAAACCATAGTGCAAATGCACATGGATCTCCAGAGGACACCAATGCAGACAATCCCCAGCAGAGCCAGGCAGGTGCATGCTGCAGCTCCCAGGCTGTCCCAGTGTGCTCCTGTGCACTGCATGCAGCTCCTCCCCTGTCCCTGCTCCTCACTGCAGGGGACATTGGTGCCAGGTTGGTGACATGGTGGACAATGCCACGAGAACCTCCTCACTGATGGAAAACAAAATCCAGTGTCACTTGACAGGGGTTTAAAAAATAGGAGAGTTTGGTGTGCAATATAATCACTTTTACTCCTAATACTAAAATTATGTATGTAAAGTGATGCAATTGACCGTGTTTTTGCACTTTGGCATTTATAAATATTTATATGTATTTAAAAATTAAGAATATGTGTGTGTATACATATATATTAAGAAAACAGTTCAGTTTTGTAAACATGAATGTTACTTTCCTTTGAGAGACTTTGTATAGTGTTAACACTACTGCAGCATACATAGACAATTTATGAACTATGACTAAAATAAATGTTGGTCAGCATAGATACAATCTGTAATCTTAACTGCTCACCTGAAAAAGAAAGGGATCTTTGGCTGTCAAAAGATACTTTACCAGAAACTTGTTAAACATCTGAACACTGAGTAGCTGAATGGCATTGCAGAAATGGAGTATGTTTTAAACAGTTCATTTCATCTGTGCTCATATCATTTTTCCTCAAAAAAAGCCTTTAGAAAGAGAAGCTTGGCATTTTGCAATCTGGGTAAGCAGCCTGTACTTTGAGGAAATCCTGTGATATGACAAGTCTAGGTCTTTATGGAAAAAGACAAGAAATGAATGTCAAAATTAAGGCTTTGTCTGCATGGATCATACAAACTAAACTAGTCTTAGGACTGGAAACTACAGTTTGCAAACAGCCTTTGAAGTTTTGTAATGTTTCCAGCAAGGGCTTGCATTTTCTTGTCAAAATAATGAAAAACTCAACCTTGACTAGAAATTAACTAGTTGGTTGGAGAGTTTCAAAAGCTGTTAGGAACCAGAGGGCTCTTGAAAGAGGTTTTGTCTTTTTTACATCCTAACAGAGCATATGTGTTTATTCCAAATTAATTAAAAGAAAAAAAATTATTCCATATGTTTAATTTTTCTTTCTTAAAGGAAGGACCTTAAATGCTAAATCACTTTGCTTAAAATTATAATTTTATGAATGAAGTAGGATTTAGCTATTCCAAACACAGCTGACATGGAGTCTCCAAGGACAGGGTGGGTGAGCCTTGTGTTGTCACAAGGGCCACCCTCCAGCTGGGAGGTCACAGCTCCAGGTGCAGACAGACAGACAGACAGACAGACCTTTGTGGTCCTTGAGGAGCATGGGTTCAGCCTTGCAGCAGCACAGAGTGTTTGGGGTAAGTGCTGAACTGCATTTGTCTGCATGTTCTACATGTGTCACATGGATTCTAGCAGGGCTTGATGCTGAACCTTAGTGAGACCATATTCTGGGAAGCAGATTCTTTCCTGGGATGTGTGTTGTGTCATTCCTGCTCAAAACTGGTTTTGATCCAGGGACACCTGCATCCAGATGCAGAATTTGGACTTGAGTTCTATAATGAATATAGTAATTTCTTTGCTTTTTCAGAGTGTCTTGAATTATTTTTTTTAACCTGTTGAAATATGATAAAAAAGTGTATTCTGGTTCATTATTTTACATATTTTATGGTCTTTTACATGAGTGGTGTTCTAAAAGCTTCTTACACAAGTTGTCAAATCAGTTGTGGTTTTTGCCCACTCTGCATGCTAAAATAATGTCTGGGGCTAAAATAATGTTTTAAGTAAACCATCTTTTGTCATCTTAGCTTTGGAGGAAATTGAAGAGATAACCATTCTTCTTTTGTTTGTGTTTTATAAAATGATTATTTTTGCAGCTAAAATTTCAGTTGTTGGATTTCAATCCCACAGTGTTGCTTTGTGGATATAAATTTCCTGGGTCCTCTATTTCACATGTGTATAAGATGTCCAGTATAAAATTAAACTAATAAAATGCACTCTTCTGCAATTTGTTGTTCAAAACATGGCAAATCATTTTGGTCCAAGAATTCAAAGCAAAATAGAGAAAATACATTTAAATAGTTAAGTTTATTCAGTGATGATGCTGCTTATTTTTTTAAAAGGTGCTTGCAGTTTTGCACAAAAGAAATAAATTTTATTAATTGCTGGGTTTGAAGCACTTTAGGATTCTTCTAAATACAACCATATATGGTGTGAAAAGGAATGACATAACATGCTTAATGTGTTCAAATTTTGGTTGTAGCCTTTGCTATTCTGACAGATTTGATCAGCATGTTTCTTTAAACCTGTTTTCAGAGATTAGAAATCAGAAACCTTTTGGGGGCTGAAATTCAACACATGGTAAGAGATCATTTGAGAAATACCTTCTGAGTGGGTGACTTGATTGGCAATGTGACTACCTGGCCATCTATTAAATAAAGACACAGCAATGTCTGTTCCTGCAGCAAGGGCAGCTCGCTGTGAGCACTGGGATTCTTTTTTTAAACAAAAAAACCCTTTTCTTAACTCTTGGCTATGCATCATGAAGTTGTACGTGCTGTGCTGAGGCCAGGCCAGCAGATCTCTGTCCCTGCTCTGCAGTGCTCAGACACCAAAGCCCTGGGACGTGTGGGGTGTGCTTGAGCCTGTCCTGTGTTTCTTCCCCTGCTGGGCAGTGGCTCAGCACCCTCAGACTCCTTAGGATAACAACAGAAGCAGGGGAGGAAGGAGTCAGGTGCAAAGAGCATTTGGTGCTGGCTGCCTGAAGCAGAGATGGTGTTTGTGGCTGATCAGAGAGCTCCTTGTACCCCTGAGCGTGTGCTGTTGTCTTGTCTTCTAATGGGGAAAACCTTTTTTTGAAAACCCAAGTGTGTCACATTTTCTATGAATTCAGATGCTTAAATTGGTGCTAATTTTTTAAAAGAAAATGTAACAGATGGTTAGCACTGTATTTGTCTGTTTTTGATACCTATATTTTCTTAACTGGTAGCAAGCCAAACTTTATAAAATGACTAACGTGCATTTTCAGCTCCATCAGATTCCCAGATTTTCCTAAAGTAAAATGTTTAAACTTCCATGGTAGCTACTGCTTCTTTGGAGCCATTGCTTTCAGGTGTTTTATACACTAATCAAATGAACACAATTAGAACAGACAGCAATACCTGACTATCCCTTTCTTAAATCACAACGTGGTTCCCCAGGTGGTTTTAGCAGTTTAAGATGCCTAATTAAGAGCAAATTAGAGATACCTGTGTGCAGTTAACTCAGTACATTGAAGCCTTACCTGGTTGTTAAGATAATTTATAGAGATTATACAAATCTTCATCTATTTTAAAGAGGGAATAACAAGAAGAAATAATTAACTGTTTTCATACAAATTAAATGTAAATTCCAGAAAATATATTATTTAATGTATTACAGAACACAAGCTATTAAAGAGTATAATAGGCTCATGAAGTGATTAGTTATGAAATCCACTTTTATCCAATGACTCAAAACAAACCCCCTCCAAAATGTAGTTCTTTGAGAATTTCTTTTGAATGCCTTCAAGTTTTACCTCCCCTCAGAATCAGCTGTTGGTTTGGTGTCCTCTTCCCCACCTTCTGTTTACCAAATGTCACCAAAAGTAGCATCAAGCCCTATCATTGTTACAGTGTTCTGGTTTTATGGCCTTAACATTAGTTCTAGTCTGGTATATAATTTCAGAAGAAAGATGTGCTTTGAAGTCTAACTATAGATACATGTGGCCTCTTCTGCCTATGGAATTAGGCTTTGATTGTCATATCTCATTCTCAGTGCTTGTGCAATAGGAACATATTCCTCTCAATGCAGTGGCTATTTTGTCTGATGCTGGACTTTGGTTTCAGGATGATAGAAAGTTTTTTTGGGTTTGTTTGTTTTGGTTTTGTTTTATGGACAGCAGTCATGCTTCATTGGTTTTTTGGACTGTTACTCTTTAGGAAACTAGAATTTCATAAGGAAAACTGTCAATAACTAGTTCTGTAGTTCTAGTTAAAACCTTGTTCTGAAGCTTTTTGGTTGTTTTTTTTTCTTTCCAAAAACGTTATTGTAAAACAGTACTAAAGCCACTGTAAAATTACAAATAAATATGTATACATAAAAGATTTGAGCAGTCTGTCTTATTTACTGTATTTTTCTTACTTATGTTTTACTTACTTACTTGGTTCTTCCTAGGTTGAAGCAGAATGTTTTATGTAACCAATGATGTATATTTGATGTATAGATTACTTCTTTCAAAACATAAAGTTTCAGTTACCACCATGGCTTCTAGTTAATGGGAATGTAGGTGTTGGCATGAAAAATGAATGAAAAAACTTGAAATTGATTGGAGTGGAATCGATTTTCCTGAACAACTGAAATGTTTGGACACATAAACAGCACTTGGTTTT